CTTTGTGCGAGGCCAGACTGCACTGTGCAGCCTCCGTCACCTGACTCGTGCTGCCCGTCAAGCCTGGCAAGTGGTGGAAGCCAGACGCAGGAGGCTGCACTGCACGGCCTGCCTCATGCAAGGCCCCTTGCCTGCCTTGCGTCGCCTGTTGGGCCTGGTAAGCAGTAAAAGCCACCTCCCTCACCTGGATTTCACCACTTGCCAAGTTTAATGGGTGGTGCAAGTCAGGCAAGGGAGGCTGCACAGTGAAGCCAGGCCTTGCGCGAAGCCACTTGCCAGGCCGGACAGGCAGTGTGAGCCAGGCAAAGGATTTCACACAAGCCCAGGCCATGCAGTGCACCCTCCCTTGCTTGGCTTTCCCTGCTTAGCAGGCCTGATGAGTGGCACAAGCCAGGCGAAAGGCTTCACGTGAGGCCAGGTCACGCGGTGTAGCCTCCCTTGCCTGGTTCACACCTCCTTCGGACCTGATGGGCAGCACAAGCCAGGCAAGGGAGGGTGCACCACATGGCCTGCTCTTGCGTGAAGCCCCTCACCACTTTCACTCTTATCTGGCCCGATGGATGGTGTGAGCCAGGTGAGGGGTTTTGCACAATGCCAGGCCGTGCAGTGCAGCCTCCCTCGTCTGGCTTGCACCACACATCAGGCCTGATGGGCAGCAAAAGTCAGGTGAGGGAGGCTGCACCGTACAGTCTGTTCTTGCGCGAAGCCCCTTGCTGGTTTCACTGCTTGTCAGGCCTGACAGGCAGTGCGAACCAGGCGAGGGAGGCTGCACCATGCGGCCTGGCATTGCATAAAGCCCCTCACCGCTTTCAATGCTTGCTGGGCCCAACGGGCGGTGCAAGCCAGGCAAGGGGCTTCACACAGGGCCAGGCTGCACGGTGCAGCTTTCGCTGCTTGACAGGCTGGGTGCAAACCTTCCCACCGAATCCAGGCCCGGACCCCTCCAGGATGATCTTCGATGGCAGGTAAACTTTACATCCCAGCAACTCCCAAATGCCAATGTCTATTTCCCCCAAGTCTCTCCAGTATTTTCTGTTGGTCTTCTGTTGGAGTTCTGTAAGCCAACTTTGGTTGAATTTCATTGTTGGAATTCAGAATGCTCTTGGTTGGAAGAGGAACTCCCTGATATCCTTAGGGAGAGAGTTCCAGAGTCGGGGGGCCACCACAGAGAAGGCCCTGTCCCTCGTCCCCACCAATCGCGCTTAATAGCAATATTAAATGACCACTCACAAGTCAGTTTTGCTTTGAAATGGATATATTACTTGCATCTCTGCAGCAAAGAAAGACCCTACTGACTTTTTCCCACCATCACTTCCTTTTCCCACCACCTTTCCTACCCATCTCCCCCCTCTTCTCAGTTTCCTTATTAGAGCTTGTTGCTTCACAAGTTCCAATACAAGGTTTTCAGCGCACTCTGCTGGCTTCAAAATGTCACAGAGAGAGAATTGAGGCAGCCAGGATGATTCAGTCAGGATGTCACGGAGGGAATTTGTGATGTCTTCATGCCATCAGAAATTGACTCCTGACATGATTAGTCCCCTAGAAAGAAAAACATAAACACCGGCAGCATCTACCTTAACTAGGTTTCATAGGATAATTTATAGAATCATAGAATCAAAGAGTTGGAAGAGACCTCATGGGCCATCCAGTCCAACCCCCTGCCAAGAAGCAGGAATATTGCATTCAAATCACCCCTGACAGATGGCCATCCAGCCTCTGTTTAAAAGCTTCCAAAGAAGGAGCCTCCACCACACTCCGGGGCAGAGAGTTCCACTGCTGAACGGCTCTCACAGTCAGGAAGTTCTTCCTCATGTTCAGATGGAATCTCCTTTTTTGTAGTTTGAAGCCATTGTTTCGCATCCTAGTCTCCAGGGAAGCAGAAAACAAGTTTGCCTCCTCCTCCCTGTGGCTTCCTCTCACATATTTATACATGGCTATCATATCTCCTCTCAGCCTTCTCTTCTTCAGGCTAAACATGCCCAGCTCCTTAAGCCGCTCCTCATAGGGCTTGTTCTCCAGACCCTTGATCATTTTAGTCGCCCTCCTCTGGATACATGAAAATGCTTAATTAGCTTTGGCGCTCAATTGTATCTGCTGCCCTCACCCACTCAGAGTCATTGAAATGGCGCCACTTCACTAAATACTGTAAACTTCCACGACGTCTTCTGGAGTCTAAAATATCAGCAACCTCGAAATGTTGTTCCCCATCCACCACAATAGGATTTGGAACCTCAATAGGCAAGTGCCTCTTGGCATGGCCACACACAGGTTTTAATAAACTACAGTGGAACACTGGATGTACTCTCCTTAGACTATGTGGCAAGGACAATTTAACAGTGACAGGGTTGATTTTCTTTGTAATTTCAAAAGGTCCCAAGTATTTTGGGGCCTACTTCTTTCTTTCTTTCTTCTTCTTCTTCTTCTTCTTCTTTTGAATATCTTTATTGAATTTTCTGTGACAAATTTATAATAATAATAATAATAATAATAATAATCTTTTATTTATACCCCGCTAACATCTCCCGAAGGACTCGGTGTGGCTTACAAGAAGCCGGGGCCCAACACATCAATAAAACAACAGCAAAACAAATACAACAATAAATAAACTCATAAAACAAGCAATAAACATTAAAACAATAGCAATAAACATTAGACAATAACACCATGACACATTTAAAACTAAGGCCGGACCAAATGTAATGATTAAAATTTTAAAATGCTGTACATGACAGGTGAGATGGATAGGTTTTTGGAGATAAGTGCGGTATACAGACAATCTTAATCTCTAGTAAAGTGCAATTGGGACATGATGCTAGGAGTTTCCTATTCTGGGAAGGCACACTGGAACAACCATGTCTTCCTAAAGACTGCCAATGTTGGGGCTTGTCTGATATCCTTAGGGAGAGAGTTCCAGAGTCGGAGGGCCACCACGGAGAAGGCCCTGTTCCTTGTCCCCACCCATCACACTTGCGACACAGGTGGGATCGTGAGCAGGTCCTCTCCAGATGATCGGAGAGATCGTGTGGGTTCAATTTAAAAGTCACGCAGGTAGGAGGGTCCCAAACCATTTAGGGCTTTGTAGGTAAGCACCTGCACCTTGAATTGGGAACAGAAGATGAACGGCAGCCAATGGAGCTCCTTAAACAGGAGGGTTGACTTCTCTCTGTAAGGAGCACCACTAGGAACATGGTTTGCATTGCCCCTTAGTTGCTTGAAATAGCATCCCTTTGTATTTCCCCCAGGGTTGCTACAGTCTTAGCAGCACCCTAATAGTCAAACATTAACAGAGGCTGGAAGCCAGCCTGCAAGCCTTTTGTAGCTATTGGCTTAAAAAAGTATCTCTTTGGTCCAGAGACCTCCCTTTTTCCTGGGGATGAGATCTTCATTTTGGAGAAGCTCTCCTGCCTTCTTCAGTATAGAAAAAGCCTCAGATGTGCTGGTGGCCAAGCTAGGCAGCTCAGACAGGCCATTGTGAGTTACCTTGGAAACTGGTGCTGAGCTCAGATAGGGGAAGACCTGCTCTTTCTAAAAGATAGTAGCTCAGCGCTGGGGCAGAGAATATCTCAGGATTTCTCTGCCATTGGGAGAGGCTCCATTACTTCATCCCCAAACTAACCTTGAACTTGGATAGGGGAAGACCTGCTCTTTCTAAAAGATAGCAGCTTAGGGTTATGGTAAAAGATCCCAGGATTTTTCTACCGTTGGGGAAAGTTAACTCAGCAGCCGAAGGAAAAGGGAAGGAAAGAACATCTATATGGTTTCACAAGTTGACTGTTTGTGTTTATAACTTCATCAAGCTGTGCCAAGTCTGTCAAGGACTTTGAGAAAGAAATGTTCTGTTTGATGTTCAAATCTGGACTGGCTCAGTTGCTGGGAATTCTAAGTTTCTAAGTAAGGTACTCGCAGTTCATTCGGATAAAGAGAGAAGCACATCTTAGTTTTAACTTTAGTGTCTGGGTGTGACGGCACATTGGCAATTTGGTCTCTTGTTCCTCTGCCTTTTCTAAGCCCAGCTTGTACATCTGGCAACTCTCTCTCCGTGTATTACTGGAGTCTTCCTTGCAGGATCTTACTGGCATGAGAAATAAGGGAGTTTGAGCAGTCTTTAGCATTCCCCTTTAGCCCTATCTCCCAGAATATCAATGGGAGGAAATCCCACATTATCTCAGTGTGGACTCAGATATTGTGAGATTTTCTGCCATGATATTCTGGGATATAGAGCTGTATGGAAGGGCACTGAGATATCTTCTATAGACGAGCAGATAAAGACTGGCATATGTTCTGTATCTCAAAAACTGGAGCCGAGAAGGAGAAAGTGGCGCCATATTTGGAATTAGCAGTTCAAATAGTCCCAGAAAGAGCAATCATTGCAGTCCAACAACTAGAGTGTGGCTTCAAGGACTTGAAAGTCATTAAACTATACCAAAAACCAGGAGGCCCCGCAACCTCTGATTATTATCCAAGGGCCCAATATCCGTGCGAGCTCCACTCTTGCCGCCTGCCTGACCTCACAAGGACTTGCCACGTCACAATCGACGCGGCCAAGGCAACGCTCCGCCCACAAGTGCCGCCAAAGCCCGGGGAAACCCCAGCACGCAGCCCCGCCCAGAATAGTAAGCGGCAACCAATCGGAAAAGAGATTAGGGGAAATCTTTCCAAAAAAAAAAAAAAAAGGCTGGACGTGGGAATAGAGTAAGGACAAGGAAAATTTCCCATTAGAGGAAGGCGTGGGTGGAGCTTTTCCCTTCAGCGAGGTGAGCAGCCTTTCGGCTTCGGATGCTAAGATGCGGAAGATGATCTTGCCTCTGCAACAAGGCCCCGCTGTTGCCAAGGTGACCGCACTCCCCCCCCCCCGCCAACTCCTGGTGTCGCGCGCTGGTGGGGGCGGGGCTTGAGCAGCAGCGGTGGCGGGAGCCGAGGCTCCTGCTCAACTGTTGGGTGTCGGGCGAGATGACGTCACAGAGGGGTGTTTGTGTGCGTGCCTGCTGCGTGCGCGCGGCCGCCCGCCGGCCGCGAGCGCGCGGGGCGGAAGCGGCCACAGTGTTTGCGGTGTTTACAGCCGCGCGGGTGGCGGGCCGGGACCAGGCGGCTCGGGGAGGCCGCGGGAGAGGCGCCCATGTGCCCGCAGCCGCCCATGGAGGTGATGGAGGGGCCCCTCAACCTGGTAAGTGGCTTCGAGGAGCGGGGGGGGGGGGGGAAGTGGCGTTGTCCCCGCGAGGTAGGCCCAGGGGAGGGAAGGAGCGCTAGAGAAGCAGCCTTGGCCTGCGGACTTCCTGTCACGTCGCCTTTGGACGAGTAAACAGCCGGCTCCCGCGCCTTCTTCCTAGTCTCTCGCCTTAGAGCAAGTTATATTACACCTCCTATCATCACCAACGAAAAGGTTGCAATCTGGGGCCCCTTCTATACTGTCATGCAATCCAGATTATCAAAGCAGATAATCCACTTTGTCTGGTTTGAACTGGATTATACTGCCATGTAATCCAGTTCAAAAAGGAAAATCTGGATTTTCTATGGCAGTGTTGGGCTAACTTGTTTTCTTCTGCTCCAGAGACTAGGACCCCTTCTACACTGCCATATAAAATCCAGATTATCTACTTAGAACTGGATTATTTGGCAGTATATACTCAAGACCCCGGAGCCCCCGGTGGCGCAGTGGGTTAAAGCACTGAGCTGCTGAGCTTGTTGATCGAAAAGTCGCAGGTTCGATTCCAGGGAGTGGCGTGAGCTTCCACTGTCAGCCCTAGCTTCTACCAACCTAGCAGTTCGAAAACATGCAAATGTGAGTAGATCAATAGGTACCGCTCCAACGGGAAGGTAACGGCGCTCCATGCAGTCATGCCGGCCACATGACCTTGGAGGTATCTACGGACAACGCCGGCTCTTCGGTTTAGAAATGGAGATGAGCACCACACCCCAGAGTCAGACATGACTGGACATAATGTCAGGGGACAACCTTTACCTTTTTACTCAAGACAATCCAGTTCAAGGCAGATAATGTGGATTATCTGATTTGATAATCTGGATTATATGGCAGTGTAGAAGGGCCCCAGGACACAATGGAACCATGGATTCAAGCTAGAGGCAGTCCTCGAGTTACAGGGATCCAATTTACAAACAGCCCATAGCTAAGAACGTGGGTGAGACAACAGGAAGTGAGAGGGATCTGCCCCTCAGAAGGGAAATGCACTGCTGGAAGAGTTCTTACCATGGGGCAAAGGGGTCTCCACTGAAACTTTTATCACCAGTCCTTGTTCACACAACAACCGAAAATGGTCAAAATCCAATACTCACAGGGACACAAAGTACAGTGAAATCTTCTGAACAGGGGCACAGACAGCAAAACAAACACCACAGCGGTTTTAACTCTTCCCTAGGCTATCCAAAGCTTATATACATGTATGTATGGAATTACACTTTAAAAATGTAAACCTACAGCACCTATCTTGTGGGCTGCTTGTACATGAAAAGAGATTCACCTAAAAATTAGGAAGAACTTCTTGACAGTAAGAGCTGTTTGGTAGTGGAATACACTGCTGGCTCAGAACTGGGTGGTGTCTCTCTTGATGTTTTTAAGCAGAAGATGGATGGCCATCTGCCGGGAGTGCTTTGATTATGTGTTCCTGCAAAGCAGAAGCGGGTTAGACTGGGGAGGCCTTTGTGATTTCTTCCAACTCTGTGATTCTGTATGTTGTTTGACAGGTAAGGAATCATAGGTGATGTAGTCCAACAGTCCCTAGAAGGGAGACAGTCACCACGTCCAGGTTATGACTGGTCCAGGTTTCATGCACAATCTAGTAATTGTCATCCAGTAGAGCATGTATTTTCCATGTTGTCTCGAATATAGTTGGGCTCCTGTAGCCACAGATCCTGAATCCATGGATTCATCCATCTGTGTTTGAAAAATATTCAACAACCACAAAAAGCAAACCTTGAGTTTGCATTTTATATAAGGGATATCTTATTGCTATATCCTTGTATATAATGGAGCTTCTGCATCAATGATTTTTAATATTCACAGGGGATCCTGGAACCAAACGCTAGCAGATACTGAGGGCTGCTGTACTAGCAAACAGGATGGAGTGTTTCCCCTGCATTTCAGACACTCACAGGGTTCTTCATATGTTGCAATTTTAAACTATTTTAGGAGAATTTGTTGTTTTGAGGCACTGTGTATGTGCCATTGTAAGCCGCCTTGAGTCCCTCTGCTAGGGTAGAGAAAGGCGGGGTACAAATATGGCAAATAAATAAATAATAAATATGGTTTAATTTTTTGGAGGGAAGACTCAATTCCACCCTAAATTGGTATACATCTGTTCCACTGTGATGGGACAGTGGCTGTTACATCAATCCCATAGTTGGCAGTTGTGTGGGAAAGCAATGCCTCTGAGAAGGATATATTTTATTCTTGGGCTTCCTGGCACACACCATTTAGGTATGGTTGAACTATATATGCAGGAAACCCCTGTAACTGTAGAAACCATTTTCAGTTTCGTTTAATGGCTCCCGGGGGAGTGGGGCGGGGGGAGAATGGTTTTTTGAAATGTGCTTAATCCTCTAGTCTAGGCGATTCTATGATGTACTTGGAAGTTACCATAGAGATACATTGGAGAACCTAGCAAATTCCTGGAAAGGATATATTTTTAGAATTCTCTGGGTCCTCTAAAGCAACTGTATGATATGCTGGAAGTGAGGTAATTCAGTGAAATTTAGTCATGTCCACAGTTTCATGGAATTGAGATTTAGCCAGTAATTTATCCCTGAGGATATGGCACATTACTGTTTACACTAGTATATTATTTATAGTATTCAAAGTACCTCATACATTGATGATTTTTGAAGCAATGTAATAAGGTGCTTCATTATTATTATACCTTCATCATTATTACTATATCAGCTTGCTTAAATCAGGGGTGGACAATATAGCTTGCACTGTACAACAATACAAAATAAGCAGAATTTTCTGCTTTCATGTAAGACAAGAATTGCAAGTGGGAACAGTGCCTTAAATTAGGATGGGGCTTCTGTGGCCATTGATATATTTTTGGCATACAACTCCATAAACCCTAAACATCATAGCACATGGTGAGGCATAATAGTAAGTGCAGTCCAAAACATTTGGAGAGTCACAGTTGCACACCACTTTCCTAAGTGGTTGGTAATTTATTGGCATCAGAGAAAAAACAGTGGGCCAGATTATGTATCAGATCCATTATGGCATTTCTGGAATCTTTATTAGACTACATTAAAATACAGTGTTCCCTCATTTATCGCAGGTGTTACGTTCCAGGAACACCCGTGATAAGTGAAAATCCACGATGTAGGGATGCGTGGCTCCCCCTCCTCCTCTTCCCCCTCCTCTTCCTCCTTCCTAAATCTCTAGCGCCTTTAACAGGGCTTCGAGGCGAGGTCGCTGTTAAACCGCTGAGGCCTGACTCTCAGGCAGGGAGGAAGGGAAAGAGTGTGACTGCCCGGCCGAGGCTTTCTTACCCCCAGCATGCCTCCCTTGTTCTCGATCGTGGCCTCCTCTCTTCCTCCTCTTTCCCTGACTCAGTTCCCAATAAATTCATTTTTTTAACCGAAAAACAGCAAGTCCGCTTAAAGTAATCTGTGAAAAAGCAAGGGAACACTGTAATATGATCTAGAAGCCTCCAGTGGATTAAGCCGCTGTGCTGCTGAACTTGCTTACCGAAAGGTCGCAGGTTCGAATCTGAGGAGCGGAGTGAATTCCCGCTGTTAGCCCCAGTTTCTGGCAACATAGCAGTTCGAAAACATTCAATTGTGAGTAGATCGATAGGTACCGTTCCGGCAGGAAGGTAATGGCATTCCATGCAGTTGTGCCGGCCACATGACCTTGGAGGTATCTACGGACAATGGTGGCTCTTCGGCTTAGAAATGAAGATGGGCTCCAACTCCCAGAGTCGGACACGACTGGACTTAATTTCAGGGGAAAACCTTTACTTTTACCTAGGAAGCTACAGGTAAAATCATGACCTTCTTGTAAACCTTCACCATTGTATTTTGTAGTAAGACAAATAGGCATACAATTATCAAATTCTTGTAAACAGATACACACACTTACCAGCTTTGATAGAAATATTGTATGCCATACAGTCGGGCAGCTGAAGCAATAGGCAAGATATGCATTTGCGTATAGTGCGAATCCCCGAGGGGTGCTCTTGAGGTGCCTCCCCACACACACAGCAAGCAAGGCAGGCGAGAGAGAGAGGTAGGACTCTTGTGGGTCCCTTGTGTCCATTTTTTCAATCTTGTTTTGCTTCTTCTTACATACAATACGCAATATGGGCAAGAGCACAGGACAAGAGCCACCGAGGGGCACCTTCCAAGCAGGCCTGCAGACAGCCTTTCCCGCCGGCTTCCTCTCCAAAGAGGGAAAATTCTTCTCCAAAGACGCAAAGACTGGCCTCCAAGGAGGAAGGGAAGGAGAGAAGGAGGCTATCTATAATTCAATCTTCTGTCACTGCCTCCCTGATGGAGAACCCCTCCCCCCAAAAACACCCAAGGTTAAGTCAAGGAAGTGGTAGTAGCAATAGCCAACCCTTTCAAGAGACATGGACCAAGATGTATGGCATTATAGAAAGAAATGGCAGATTATCTTGTGTTCTATGTACTGAAACGGTAGTAAGCAGAACGTGGAATATAAATAGACATTTTGAAGGTAATGATTCCCAGCTCTTGAAAAGTGAGGATGAAATGAAATAATACATATCCAGGCAGCTACGTCTTTATAAAAGCCAATCTAATTCTATCATTAAATTTGTAAAAGGCTCTACAAATTTAACATCCACAAGTTTGAGCATTGCTCACTCCATAGCTCAGCATAGAAAAGCACTCAGTGAGGGAGAATTTAAGAAAGAAACTCTCCTAAGATGTGCACCAGTTGTATTTCACGATATGGAGAATAAAGATTAAGAGAATATCTTAGTTACCACTCAGTAGAAATATCATAAAAGACAGAATAATTAGACTGAACACAAACGTACAATATCAATGAAGGAGAAACATAAGTAATTGTCAATATTTTTCTCTCTCTCTTGATGAAATTACTGATGTCACATCACATGCTCACGGCCATTATTGGTCGATATTCTGATGGTGTCACAATGAGAGAAGAGTTGATAAAGTTAGTATCAGTGTCAACAAGTACATTAGGAAGTAAAATATGTAAGAGTGGTATAAAAACATTCCATGACCTACGCATAGATATCTCTAAAGTTGTGTCAGTGACAACAGATGGGGCACTAAACATGGTGGGGAAAAAACTCGGATTTGTCAAATTGTTTACAGAAGCTATTGGACATCCGATTGTTCCTTTTCATTGTATTATTCACCAGGAGGCTTTATGTGCCAAGGCAGGATTCACCAACTTAAAGAACTTAATGTCAGTTATTACAAAAATAGTTATTTTAATAGCTGCTCGCCCCCTTCACAAGCAAGAATTTTCTGCACTTTTTCTGGAGGTTGATTCCACCTTCAGTGGCCTGCTGATGTACAATAATGTAAGATGGTTGAGCCAAGGCAAAGTTCTTGATCGCATTGTGGAGTGCTTTGAAGAAATTAAGGTATTTCTTGAGGATAAGGATCTGGGGAACTTTCCTCAACTGAATGATGATAAATGGGTCACAGGTCTCTGTTCATATTGATGAACTGAACTTAAAGTTACAAAGTTTTGGCAAAAGTATTGACTTTATGTTTGAATACATAAAAGCTTTTGAAAGTAAACTTCAAATTTTCAAGCAAGATGTAGAAACTAAAACTTGTATTTTCCTTGAGTAACAAAGTATTTTGAGAAGGCCAGTTCAGCTGTACAAAATGAAATGGAACTCTTGAATATAAAGTACCAGCTCGTTCCTTGACCAGTTCAGTGATAGATTTAATCAATTTAGAAACCTAGAACAGACCATGAAAATAATTAAGTATCCTGATGTAGTAATCTACAGTATCTTGGAATTAAATGGTTTCCAATTGATGTAGATTGATGATTTGGAGATGCAACTTACAGAATTTCAAGACAGCATGTGGGCTCAGGTGTTTGTTGACTTGAGGTCAAAGCTTGAGAATCTGGAAAAGTGCCACTTGGAGAATCAAGAGGAGTGCCACTATGAACAGGAAATTTGAAGTGTACTTTTAGCACCCTCTATGTACTTTTGTGAGACCTTATTCTCAGTGTTAAATAATATCAAAACCAGCAAAAGAAACAGATTGACAGATGATTAGTAGCGCTTGCTTGGACTTGACATGTACAAAATACCAACCTTCAATTGAAGATTTAGCCAATGAAATTCAACAACAAAAAAGTCACTAATAGACAGGTTAGTTAAAGAATTTCCCTTCCCCCTCACTTATCCTAGTTCATAGCACCTCACACAAGTTAAATAATACCAAAACCAACAAAAGAAACTGACTGACGGATGAACAAAGGAGTCACTAAGCAGATAAGTTAAATAATTAGTTTTTGGTTTATTAAATACAGTTATATATTACAATTATACATGTTTGATATTTAAATAATAAATATCGCAAAATTATGGTTTTTTTCTCGATGTGACACCCCACCCAAGTTATGCTTGTATTTTTGGCAAATTTTGACACACCAAGCTCAAAAGGCTGCCCTTTATTTATTTATTTATTTTATTTATTTATTTACAGTATTTATATTCCATCCTTCTCACCCTGCAGGGGACTCAGGGCAGATTACAGTGCACATATACATGGCAAGCATTCAATGCCATAGACACACAACACATATAGACAAACACAGAGGCAATTTAAGTTTCATGAGGATATACTCAAATTTTGGGCACTGGAGGAGCTGTTGCTTCACGGTCCACTTGTGACCCTGAGTCCTTGATGGAGTACTTCTTCATTATTTCGCTCACTGCTGGAGATTTTTATGGCGTTGTAAATTAGTTAAATTAGCCTCCCCGCATAAGTGGTACCTAAATTTCCTACTTGACAGATGCAACTGTCTTTCGGGCTGCAAAGGCCGACAGCACACTAGACAAATGGTTGGGAGCTTACCCAGGCTGGCTTCAAACTCATGGTGATTTAATGCAGCTGACTCCTATCCAACTGCGCCACAGCCCAGCCCATAACTGGTATAGTGTCTAAAGAGACTATGCTTAGTTTTGCTCAAACACTCAAGGACAATCTCCATGATTTCACCCAATTGTGGTTGTCTTTCATTCTTGGACTTCTGTTAACGGATAGTTGTCAGTCTTTTTGTACTTTTCACTCGGATAGTGACTTGGCTATGAAAGAGAACTGGGTACTATCTGCTGCTGGGCCTACAATTGTTGTTGATACAGTTATTGCTCTTTTGTTGCTGCTAGATGTTCCCACAGAATATATGTGAGAGAAAGATGAAATTTATTTATTTCCAACATTTGTACCCTGTCCTTCTCAACCCCCGAAGGGGGACTCAGGGCGGCTTATAATGGCAACAATTCGATACCAATGCATACAGAATACATACACAATATATCACAATATTATACATTAAATAAAACCATTCAGTTAAAATCCATTTTAAAACATTAACAACCATGTAGCCAAATCCAATCCAATTCAGCATTCAAAGACTTTGTCAGAGCCTGTCCATTGTCAGTTCACGTAAACATTGCAATCACTATCAAACCTGTTCCCCAAATGCCTGGCCACAGAACCATGATTCAAGCTTCTTCCTGAAGGAGAGGAGGGATGGAGCTGGCCTAATCTCGCTGGGGAGGGTGTTCCAGAGGTGAGGGCCACCACAGAGAAGTCCCTGTCTCTTATCCCTGCCAAACACGTTTGCAAAGAAGGCGGGACAGAGAGCAGGGCCTCCCTGGACGATCTTAAAGTCCGAGGCAAGACATAGAGGGAGATACATTCAGACAAGTAAGCTGGGCTGGAACCGTAGAGGGCTTAATTTGGATTCCGCTGCATAATTTGGATAATTCAAAACAACACTTCAGAATTGTGTGTTCTGTTTCTTTTGTGACAATGGTGACTTCCTGAGAGTCCACTTAGGGATGGGTGGGAATGAGAAACTCTTGGATGAGGAGCAGTTGACATAAATATATACATTAAGCCTCCGATAAGTTTTGTAAGAGGTGCTTATGGGTCATGTGGCAAAAGCATGAAGGAAGAGCCTCTAGTTCCTGTGTAAACTTAGAGTGCTCACCTAAGTTTACACAGCACTTCTTTATTGAGTGCCAAACTGTCCCAACTAAAAATGTGAGGCAAAGTTATTGTTTCTGTTGTGTTAAATCATGTTTTGTCTATTTACCGGCTTCTTTGAAAAACTGAAATAAGTACAGATGTTTAAATCGAAGCAAACGATTCCAGTTTTAAAAGTTTTTTTTTCTTTTGAAGGCTCATCAGCAGAGCAGAAAAGCTGACCGCTCACTGGCAGTAGGAAAGTATGAAGAAGCAATTTCTTGTCACAAAAAAGCAGCAGGTGAGCTCTTAACAGTGAAGGTAGTTTTGATGTAGCTGATGTGTCTGAGCAATTGTTCTCAGTTCAGAGAAATAATAGGAACAAAATATCCAATAGCCTAATGTGGAGATCCTGGCTGGGGGAGAAGTCTGCAATCTCATGAATTAATGTGTTGTATAGAAGAAAAAGATTGTAAAGAGTCTGCACTTCTAAACACCAAGTAAAATAGTGATCACGATAGTTGCAGAGCAAAGATGAGCAAAAATGTCCTTCTACCACTCCTTTCAAGCATAGCCAATGTGGAGGGATGCTGAGAGCAAACTTTGGGAGGCCACAGTTGGTCACCCTGCGGTAGTTGAGGATCTCAAAGGGCCTCCAAAATCTAAACTGCAGATCAGGGAAAGCTTAAATGGAATTTTGGGTTAAAAAAAATAATTGTCTACTCATATAGAAGGTCCTGAACATAGTGGCTTTCAATTATTTTAGAGGAGAAAATGTAATATCTTGACTTCATTAATATTATAGTAGATAATATTTATAAACCCAGCATTTAATGGGTTTATATGATCCCTGACTTGATAAGGGTTTGGAATGTATTAGTCCCCCTCTCTATTTATTGTTTGTTGATTTTAGCAGAGAAAAAATAATTCACAACCAAAATAAAGAAAAAAACAAGCATGAAAACATGAAAGAAAAGGAGTAAGATATACACATATGTAGGTATGCATGTACATATAACTAAGATAACCTTGGATCCTGTACTGGGGAAAGGCAGGATACAGATAAAATAACACTGAACTAAACTAAAGCTAAAACACAATATTAAAACATAAATGCAACAACATTAAACAATGACTAACTAAAACACTAACATAAAGGATGCCATCCAAACAGTAAGGGGGAGAAAACGAAAAACCAAGAAGAACCCACATAATTTTACCATTGCAGATCCAATTAAATAACTTCAAATTATTATATCATTAGATTTCTTGTTGTTCTCTAACCTCCCCTTCCTGGGCAAGGTTCTAGAGCAGGTGTTTGCCTCTCAACTCCAGGGATTCTTGGATGACACCGATTATCTAGATCCATCGCAGTCTGGTTTTAGACCTAGCCATGGCACTGAGACCGCTTTGGTTGCCTTGGTGGATGTCCTCCAAAGAGAACTTGACAGGGGGAGTGTGTCCCTGTTGGTTCTCCTGGATATCTGAGCAGTTTTCGATGCCATAATCCTTCTGGGGCGGCTCTCCGGAATGGGTCTTGGCTCCTTCCTGGAGGGTTGCTCCCAGTTGGTGAAGCTGGGGGATACCTGCTCGGACCTGTGGCCTTTGACCTGTGGGGTCCTTCAAGGTTCCATTCTATCCCCCATGCTTTTTAATATGAAACCACTAGGTGAGGTCATCTGTAGTTTTGGAGTTGGGTGCCATCTGTATGCAGATGATACACAACTCTACTACTCATTTCCACCAAACTCCAAGGAAGCCTCTCAGACCCTGAACTGCTGTGATGGACTGGATGAGGGCTAATAGGTTGAAGCTTAATCCAGATAAGACAGAGTTCCTCCTGGTCAGTTATGGAGCTGACCGGGGTATTGGGTGGCAACCTGTGCTCGATGGGGTATACACTCCCCCTGAGGACGCAGGTCCGTAGCTTGGGAGGCCTCCTGGACTCAACACTGTGACTTGATGCTCAGGTGTCGGCGGTGGCCGGGAGGGCCTTTGCCCTATGATCGCAGCTGGTCAGGAGGACCAACTGTGACCATACCTCGTGAAGTCTGACTTGGCCAGCGCGGTCCATGCCTTGGTTACATCCAGCTTGGACTTTTGTAATGTGCTCTACATGGGGCTGCCCTTGAAGATGGTCAAGAAGCTCCAGTTGATACAAAGGGCGGCAGCCAGGGTCCTTACTGGAGCAAACTATAGGGAGCATACAACGCCCCTTTTAAAATAGCTTCACTGGCTGCCGATAAGTTGCCGAGCCAAATTCAAGGCGCAGGTTATGACCTATAAATCCCTAAACAGTTCGGGCCCTGCCTATCTTTGCGATCGCATCTCCCTCTATGAATCGGCGCAAACTTTAAGATCTTCTAGGTGGCCCTCCTTTCGCTCCCACCACCGTCATTAGCACATTTGGTGGGGACGAGAGAGGGCCTTCTTGGTAGTGGCTCCCCGCTTCTGGAACGCCCTTCCTGGAGAAATAAGACAGGCCCCATCCCTCCCCTCCTTTCGTAAGAACCTGAAGACCTGGTGGTTTAAACAAACCTTTGAGAACAACTAGTTCTAGCTCTGCCCCAGATACTGTTGAAATTGGCCATATCTTTTTCTACCAATTACCCAGGTCACTTTCTTGTGTTAGGCCCTGGAAATGTACAGTGATAGACTCTACCTAATTTCCCGGGCCCTCTAAAATCGCACTAGCCCGGCCCGGCCTTTTAAACTGCCTTGAAGGCAGGATTATTTTAAATATGTGTGCTGTTGTGGTTTTTAATGCTTATAATGTCTTGTTAATTTTATGTTTATGCTGATTTCTCTGTATGTATTGATTATGTTACTTGGAAACCACTCTGAGTCCCCTTGGGGAGATAGAGCGGTATATAAATAAAGTTGTTTTGTTGTTGTTGTTCAGAAAGCACACAAACTGTTCAAATATTTCAAAAAACCTTCACTTGTTTTACCTTTTCAAATCCATGTTAGTTTGGCAATTTGTGCTAATTTAGCGGCCCTAGAAATCCATCTTTCTGACGTTGGTATTTTGGACAACCTCTAGCTTTGAGAAAACAGTGTTCTTATTGCTGTTACCATATTTTTTGTACAATAATGCCCAGCAGAAACATTCTGGTAACATTGTGAGATCTAACTACATTTTTGAAGGAGTTGATGTATGGAATTGCAACTAGACTTGTTTAGATTTCTCTTTGTTCTAAACAGTTTTTACTTTGTACTATATGCAGCATATCTTTCGGAGGCCATGAAGCTGACACAATCGGATCAGGTAAGATTACACTTCTTATAGATTACACAAATTATAATGGTGCCGCTTCTAGAAGTGAGTCATTATCTCTACAGCCATAAACAGTTAAAAACCACACCTGCAGGTTTATATTCTGAAAATATAAGACATAGATATAATGGAGAAGAAATGCTCTGTAATGTGGACATGGAGACTCATGTATCTAACACTCACTGTCAGGAATCTAGATCAGAAATGTCTGGGAATTGCTTAAAAAGGGCAAATATATCTCTCCAGATATTGTTTATCTGCAACTTCCAGCATACCTCAGAATTGACTATATTGGGTAGAATTAATGAAAGTTGTAGTACAACATCTGGAGGGCCACCAGCTTTTAGTTTTTGGGATATGATTTATAAAATATATTGTTACTGTTATTATTATTGTTTACAAGTGAAATCATTTCTTTAAAAAATTAAGAAAGAAACAGGTAGAAACTTCCCTTACTCTGACATAAAACAAGATCCTACATCAAAGATGCAGAGCATAATATGGCATCCATGCTGTTCTCTATCTTCAAGGAACAATTCAGGTGTTGATGAAACAGTTCATTGTGGTTTGGATGTGAAAGGAATAGGAGTGTACTCTCCTATGTCTTGACCCTCTCCCCTGGTTGAATTTCCCCCTTGCTTTCCCACTTTGCATTAGTTAGAACTCTGTCTTATGGAGTCTTAATCTTTATGATGCTATTTGTCTTGGTTTAGCCATGACTCTTTAGAGCAATTTTCTTTGACAAGGTTTCTTTGACAAGGGAATTTAATCCTTCTGGTAATTGGGTCAGCAGAGAGTAGCCTTCCAATAAACTCTTCCCATCTAACCCACTGGAAGATCACTAGTCCATATCATATCAGGGAATTTAGCAGCAAGCGATAAACTGCCCTGCTCTTTGTAAGTAGCTTCTTTTTGCAATTCTTCCTAAGAAAGGGGGAGAGAGAGAGCGCGCTAAACTGGCTAAGTCCTAATTTTTAGGTGAACATAAAACTTGGAAACTATCAACCTACAGTGTAGGGGTTTGGGGACTGAAAACATGGATATAAATGATTGTGTGTTTCTTTAATATCAACCTATAGTGACAAAATTAAACAGGAGTAGTCATATGAAGGTCCACTCAACAACACTGCTGACTTTTACAAAACTCTTAAGCTTTGTTATAACTTTGCCTGGTTTATTTGTGTTTTTGTGTACAAAAAGTTGGAGTACTTGTGTAAAAAGAAGAATGATTGAAAACAAGAAATAACACTGCCAGTCTCACAAAAATAAAATCTTCTCACAAAAAGAAAGTCATACTCAACCTCAGCAAGATGGAGTAGATGAAGGATTAGGGGAAATCCAACCCCAAATTGGGAAACAAATCATCCAGGAATACTTGCCTGCTCTAAACGAATTCAAGTCCCCAGGGCCAGATCAACTACACCCAAGAGTATTGAAGGAACTAGCAGAAGTCATTTCGGAGCCATTGGCAATAATCTTTGAGAGTTCTTGGAGAACGGGAGAAGTCCCAGCACATTGGAGGAGGGCAAATGTGGTCCCAATCTTCAAGAAGGGAAAAAAGGGTGACCCAAACAATTACCGTCTGGTCAGCCTCATGTCAATACCAGGCAAGATTCTGGAAAAGACTATTAAGGAAGTTGTCTGCAAACACTTAGAAACAAATGTGGTCATCGCTAATAGTCAACATGGATTTATCAAAAACACGTCATGCCAGACTAATCTGATCTCTTTTTTTCAATAGAGTTACAAGCTGGGTAGATGCAGGGAACGCTGTGGATGTAGTGGATCTGGATTTCAGTAAGGCCTTCGACAAGATCCCCTATGACCTTTTGGCAAACAAACTTACTTAGGCGATCCCTTGTAGTCCGAGGATAATGGTCCTCCAAGTGTAGTATCCTGACAGTGGTTGATTTTGTTCCCTGCATTTTTCTTGGAGCTGTCGTGCAGTGAAGATCATGTCCACTGTTCCTCTGGAGGGGTGGAAGCTGTTCTGGGATTCTGGAAGGGTTTCTTCTGAGAAGGGTTCTTGTGAGGATTTTCCCAGCGGAGGTTAGAAGGGAGATATCTCGATCGTTTCCGCAGTCTGTTCTTTCCCCTTTTTTGAAGAGGGTGATGATGGTGGCATCCTTGAAATCTGCTGGCATTTTCTTGATTACCCACACTTTTTCTATGAGCTGGTGGAGTTGTGTCAGCTCAGTTCCTCCCTCTTTAAAGATTTCAGCAGGGATCCCATCAGGTCCCCTGGCTTTGTTATTTTTTTGTTGGCTGATGGCATTGCTGACTTCTTCCAAACTAGGCAGTGCTGCAAGCTCATCCCTGGTTTGTTGTTGCGGGATTTGTGAGAGAACCTCTTTGGCCACATTGGCGCTGCGATTCAGGAGGCTTTGGTATTGTTCTTTCCAACATAGTGCAATTGATTTTTTGTTCTTCAGAAGTTTGGTTCCAGCTGATGAGCGTAGAGGCTGTATACCATGGTTTCTTGGTCCATAGATGACCTTTGTGGCTTTGAAAAATCCCTGAGCATCATGGGTATCTGCCAGGTGTTGGATTTCTTCAGCCTTCTTTGTCCACCAGATGTTCTTGAGTTTTCTTGTCCTTCTTTGGACCTTAGCTTTTACACTGGCATAGATCTTTTTCTTAGCAGCACAGTTGATGTCTCTCTGCCATGTTTGGAAGGCTTTCCTTTTCTTGTCAATTAGCTGTTGGATCTCGTTGTCAGTTTCATCAAAACAACCTTGATGTTTCTTGGTTTGAGATCCAATAGTTTCTTCGTAGGCTGTGATGATGGAGGTCTTCAGTTTGTTCCAATGCTCCTCAACATTTTCGGGGTGTTCTATGGGTAGATGGTCCTTGAGTGTTGTTTGGAGATGGGCTTGTTTGGAGGGCTCCTGAAGGGCTTGGGTCTTCATTTTGCGCCTTTTCTTTCTTCCTTGGAGTCTGCGCTTGGGGGCGATCTTGATAGCCATCGTGGATCGGATTAGCCGGTGGTCTGTCCAGCAGTCGTCAGCACCTGTCATGGCTCTTGTGAGAAGCACATCACGGCGGTCTCTGGCACGTGTGATTACATAGTTTAAGAGGTGCCAGTGCTTTGACTGGGGGTGCTTCCATTATAACTTGAACTTGTTTTTCTGCCGGAAGAGCGTGTTGGTGATGACAAGGTTGTGTTCCACACATTTGGTGAGAAGCAGGATGCCATTCGAGTTGCTGTTTCCAACCCCGTCTTTTCCTATGGTCCCTGGCCACAGGTCGAAGTCTTGCCCGACTCTTGCATTAAAGTCCCCCAGGAGGATGATTTTGTCCTCCTTTGATATCTCCGATAGGACGGTGTCCACCTGACAGTAAAAATTTTCCTTGATGTCTTCATCAGCATCTAGTGTTTGTGCATAGGCACTTATGATGGTTGCCTGTTGGTTTTTGGCAAGCTCAATTCAGAGGGTTGAGAGTCGTTCATTGATGCCAGTGGGTGCTTCGGTCAGATGTTTCATCAGATCATTTCTGATAGCGAAGCCAACTCCATGCATTCTTTGGTCTTCTTCAGGCAGTCCCTTCCAGAAGAAGGTATAGCCTCCTTTTTCTTCCTTCAGCTGTCCTTCTCCTGCTCTCTGGGTCTCCTGAAGTGCTGCTATGTCGATGTTAAAGCATCCCAGCTCCCTTGCAATGATGTCAGTTCTGCATTCGGGGCGTTCACTGTCAGTGTTCTCCATCAGTGTCCGTATGTTCCATATATCAACGTTCATTTTTCTCTTTTGGCTGCAGTGGATGCGGCAGTCCAGTCAGGGATAAGAGAGGCACCTTTTCTAGCCCCTTCCCTGTGTGGGGTGAGCAGAGTGGGTCCTAAAAAGGGCTGATCAATCGTGGATACAGCTGCTAAACTACTCAATTGCCTCGGACCTTGAGGTAGAATGACTGAGTCCGTATCCACCACCCATGTGCCAGTCTGTGACTTGGGGCTTCCAGATTTCACAGTCCTGCCCTCGTCACCATGTACCATGTTATCCTCCGCCTGTTCCGCCGTTTAGGTCTTTGGGTCTTCGGACTGTCCTTGTTCTGGAACCTCCCCCGAGTCCACTCCCGGGAGTGCACGACTCCAATCATTGTGCCCGCAGGTTCATTGGAACACACAACCCCCCTCACCGTGACAAGGTGACAGTCCATAGGCAAACAAACTAGTCAGACAAAACTACAGTTAGGTGGATCTGTAATTGGTTAAATGAACAACACCCAGAGGGTGATTCTCCCCAATGTTTCTTCTTCATCCTGAAAAGAAGTGATGAGTGCCTCAGGGTTCTGTCTTGGGCCCAGTTCTTTCAACATCTTCATTAATGACTTAGATGAAGGGTTAGAAGGCATGATCATCAAGTTTGCAGACGACACCAAATTGGAAGGGATAGCCAATACCCCCAGAAGACAGGAGCAGAATTCAAAACAGTCTTAACAGATTAGAGAGATGGGTAAAACTAACAAAATCAAGTTCAACAGTGACAAATGCAAGATACTCCACTTAGGCAGAAAAAATGAAATGCAAAGATACAGAATGGAGGACGTGTGGCTCGAGAGCAGTATGTGTGCAAAAGATCTTGGAGTCCTCGTGGACAACAATGTAAACATGAGCCAACAATATCATGCAGTGGCAAAAAAGCCAATTGGATTTTGGCCTGCATCAATAGGAGTATAGTGTCTAGATCCAGGGAAGTCATGCTAACCATGCTGTATTCTGCCTTGGTCAGACCTCATCTGGAATACTGTGTCTAAGTCTGGGCACCACAATTGAAGGGAGATGTTGACAAGCTGGAATATGTCCAAAGGAGGGCGACTAAAATAATCAAGAGTCTGGAGAACAAGCCCTATGAGGAGAGGCTTAAAGAGCATGTTTAGCCTTCAGAAGAGCCAGAAGTGCGTTTGGTGGGGACACGAGACAGGGCCTTTTCTGTGGTGGCCCCCCAACTCTGGAACACCCTCCCCAAAGATCTTAGACAGGCCCCTACACTGGCAGTCTTTAGAAAGAACTTGAAGACCTGGCTGTTCCGATGTGCCTTCCCAGAATAGGAAATCTCCAATACCAAGTCCCATAAGCACTTTATTAGAACTAAGATTGCTGCACACCACACACTGCACTTGTCCTATAAGCCTTATATACCACCTGTCACATCAGCACTTTTAATCCTGTACCCATTACTCTGGCCCGGCCCAGTTTTATAGTGTCTTGATGTATTGTTTATTGCTTGTTGCTTATATTGCTTTAATTGTTTTAATTTGCCTTAGGTTTTGTATTGTATGTGTGTGTTGAGGCCTTGGCCTTTGTAAGCCGCATCGAGTCCTTCGGGAGATGCTAGCAGGGTACAAATAAAGTTTAATAATAATAATAATAATAATAATAATAATAATAATAATAATAATGTATAAATATGTGAGGGGAAGTCATAGGGAGGAAGGAGCAAGCTTGTTTTTTGTTGGCCTGGAGACTAGGACACGGAACAATGGCTTCAAACTACAAGAAAGGAGATTCCACCTGAACATTAGGAAGAACTTCCTGACTGAAAGCAATGAAACTCTGCCCCGAAGTGTGGTGGAGGCTCCTTTGGAGGCTTTTAAGCAGAGGCTGGATGGCCATCTATCAGGAGTGCTTTGGATGCGATTTTCCTCCTTCTTGGCAGGGGGTTGGACTGGATGGCCCATGAGGTCTTTTCTAACTCAATGATTCCATGAGTCTATGATTCTGTAATTCCATTCCTGAAAATGTGGTACTTACTGTCAGATGTCATATGAAACCAAGATTGCCACTGAAAAGGTGGCTGCTCACATTTTAAAGCAATTAATTTTGTTATCAGTTGTTAGAATTGCCAAGCAAAGAAGCATCTTGCATTATAGCTATTCAGAAGTTGAGAACAAATCAAGCAGCAGTTTTCTTACACTGGTCCAACTGGAGGCATCTTCCAAGAAGAATTCAAGGAGTTATCAAAGACAAAGGAATTATTTTGCAGAAAACTTGGGAGTAGCCACATTGTGCTCCAGTAATTGCTCCTGATGCTTGAAAGAATTACACTGCTTCCTGTTTAATGTAATAGTTTTTCAAAATTGAATCTTGAAAGCTCTGTGGTTTTTAGTATAATTATGACAAGACAAACATCCAAACAAGCCCAGAACAACTTGTAAGCTGTTGGGTTAAAGCCAAAGGGACAAAATGTGCAGTCATTTATTCTTATTTCTAAATATTTTATGCTACAAGGTTTATAAGAGTGCCTAAAATAGATTTTATGATGATGATGATGATGGCGATGATAATAAATCTTTATTTATACCCTGCTTTTCTTCCTAATCTGGACCCAAAGCAGCTTACAACATTATATAAAAGACAATACAAAACAATATGCGTATGTAAAACAATAACCTATAAAATTACAATAAGAAATAAATAAACATATTTAAAAACACTTGTCTAAGACAATTATTGCAGGCAACTCCACAAGACAGATGGTAAACATTAGCATGATTTAATAAAAGTTAGCCTTCCTATCATTGCAGCTAAGTTTGCGCGAAGAGGAAGGTTTTTAGCTGCTGTTTAAAAGATGTCAGGGAAGGGGCTGTTTTAACCTCCTTGGGGAGGGAGTTCCAAAGAGTTGGCATGGCCACTGAGAAGGCCCTGTATTGTTGCCACCAACCGCATTTGCCATGGTGGCGGCAACGAGAGGTGGGCCTCGTTAGAAGATCTTGATGTTCGGGCAGGTTGATATGGGGAGATGCAGTCAGATAGGTAAGTAGGACCTGAACTATTTAGGGCTTTAAAGGTCAAAACCAGCACCTTACATTGGGCTTTAGCAGGGTGGTGGTATTGGGTCCAGCACCTGTTAATAACCTGGCTGCAGATCTCTGAACTAATTGAAGTTTCCAGACAAGGGCAGCCTCACATAGAGCCCATTACAGTAGTCTAAATTGGGATGTAACTAAGGCATGGACCACCCTGGCCAAGTCCGGCTTTTCAGGGTACAATTGCAACTGGTGCACAAATTTTAATTGCCACCAACAAGCTTTAATTGCCTCCTAGACACCAATAACACCAAGGCCTCTAGGCTTAGTGATGAGGACTCATGAGGACCCTCAGACTGCGGACCTGTTTATTCAGAGGGAGTGTGACCCTATCAGCACAGGTTGCCACCCTATACCCTGATCTGCCTTCCGGATGACCAGGAGGACCTCCGTCTTGTCTGGATTCAATTTCAATTTCTTTCTCCTCATCCAGTCCACAACATCTAACAGGCACCGGTTCAGAGTTTGGGCTGCTTCCTTGGCTTTTGGTGGAAATGAGAAGTAGTGGCTTCATGTAGATGTTAAAGAACATAGGGGACAGAACCAAACCCTTTGGGACCCCACAAGGCAACGGTCGTGAGATCCCCCAACACCACCATCTGGGTGTGACCTTCCAGGAAGGAATGGAGCTGCTGCAAAACAGTGCCTCCAGACAACCCAGAGTGATACAATGGTTGATGATAGCGAAGGCTGCTGAGAAGTCCAAGAGAACCAACAAGGACACACTCCCCTGGCAAGTTTTCTACATAGATCATGTACCAAGGCGACCAAAGCTGTCTATTTTCCATGGCCAGAACTGAAATCAAACTGAAATGGATCCAGATAATCTGTTTAACCCAAAAATCCCTGGAGTTGCGAGGCCATCACCCGCTCCAGAACCTTGCCCAGAAAGGGGAGATTAAAGACTGGGCAATAGTTACTAGTCATGGACCTGAAATTTGTCCCATTAGTTTCATTTGTGTTTCTATTAGACAGAACAAAATAGAAAGGCCCCTCCTGAAACAAAAATGCAATTGATACAAAAGGCAGGCTGGCCTGTTTTTCAGATGGATTGTGTGGGGTCCGGCAGGGGCTGGAGTAAGGGCCGCTTCTTACTTGGTGCTCGGCTGCAGGCCTTGCCAGGCCTGGGTGCATAGACCCAAAGCCTGCACTTGTAGGCCCAGGTCTTTTGAGCCTACAAGTGAAGCCCCCCTCCCCCAATAATGAAAACAGAAACTAAAAGCAAATATCTGACCTCCCAATTTTGGGAGGCTCAGATTAAAATGGATCGAGGCCCCCCCACCAAAAGCTAGGACATGAAACAGATAAGTCCCGCATGTACATGACTAATAGTTACCCATTTCCTTTTTTTCGTGTCAGGAGTGACTTGAGGAACTGCAAGTCACTTCTGATATGAATTAACTGTCTGCAAGGACGTTGCCCAAGGGATGCCTGGATGTTTTGATGTTCTACCGCCCTTGTGGGTGGCTTCTTTCATGTCCCCACATGAGGAGCTGATGCTGACAGAAGGAGCTCATCCACGTTCTCCCCAGATTGAGACCTCCAACCTGTCGGATTCAGTCCTGCTGGCATAAGGATTTAACCCACTGCGCCACTGGGGACACCACCAATTTCCATGGGGTCTAGTGATGGTTTCTTAAGCAGTGGTTTCACCACTGCCATTTTTAGACCAGATGGAACCCCTGTTTGATAAGCCAAGAAGGGCAAGAGTCTAGAGTGTACCTGGTGGATCTTGCTTTTCCAAGGATCCTGTCCACATCCCCAGATTGAACAAATTGAAATGAATCCATCAAAACATGACAAGTGGGTTCCTGGGCTACATCCATAGAGACTATATCAGTAGTGATGTCCAAGTTGGAACATATCTGAATGACTTTACAATTCCTAAGTCTTCAATGTGGTTGACTGTAGAGAGCCAAAAGTTGGTTTCTCTTGGGCTAAAATTTCCTCCTGCATCTAAAACAGGATGTTTGTCCTCAAACCAAGTATCAAGAGGATCTGTGGGCAGGACCTTTTTATTAAAAGAAAAATATTAAAAGAAAAAGTGAAGTACAGTTCTACTTTGTATTTGTAATTAGAAACATAAAATGCAGCTGAATAAAATATTTTAGTGTAATCAATGAAAATGTTGAACAAATGCTGTTACTATTAGACAATATTTCATTGCTTTAGTGGCCTATTTTGCTGTCCTAACTTTAGTATCCTAACTTTAGAGTGTTTTGAGTTAAGAGCCATCTCTCAGCCCGAGTTTTGCTTTGACATTCGAGAAGCATTTTGAGTTAAGAACTAACGCTAGGGTGAGCACTAGCGTGAGAGTACAGGGCTTTACGTCTTCAAGGGAGCAGTCTCCATGCCTCGTGCTCTTCTCTGTTTTAAGAGATAGTTGTCCGCTTTGCTTTTCTCCACTTTGAGGAACTTTGGGGTGAGTTGGTTTTGTGTAATTTTTATTCCTGGTATGTTTGCCTCCATAAAATATAGAGGGAGGGAGAGAAAAAGAGGGAGGGGAGCTGGAATGAGTACAGTATGAAAAAAATAATGTTTTGCCACTTCACATTGTGCTTTCTTGACAGAACTTTGTGCTTCTACCATTTTAAAGCTGATCTCTCTTTTTTATTATTCAAAGTGAATGTTCATTTATTCATTATTCATTATTTATAAAGTACATCCTCTTAATTAAAAACATGTAACCACATATTGGGGGGGGGGGGATAGGTGGCATACAGTGATAATTCCCCCCATGCAGTGATAACTCAAGGTATCACTGTAGAAAGCTAAGAAAGGATGACGGCACAGTTGTAAAATCCAGTCTCTGTTCTCATGTTTCCACAGGCTCAGTTATCATTGCAATTGCAAAAGGAAAGCCACCTGAAACAGATACTGCTTATCCAAGAGCGCTGGAAAAGAGCAAAAAGAGAAGAAAGACTAAAAATACAACAGGCTATGGACAGGGATGGTGTTACACACCCGCAACCTTCTTCTAAACCATCAATTGAGGAATCTGATGACCAAAGTGTAGCCGCTCCTGCTAGTCTCAAGTATAGCCCTTCTCCAGAGAAGGACTTGCAAGCAAAGCTTGGTGTCTTGGATAGGGACCCGGATACACTATTGTTTTTGCTTCAGAAAAGAAAGGAACCACAGGAAGTGTGCGTGAGAAATAGAACCCCAAAGGATGACAAAACTAAAATGGAAGAGCAGGCTACCAAAATCGCACTTCTGGAACGGCATGTGGAAGTTCTCTTAGTGGAAAACGAGCGATTGAGGCAGGAGAACAAGCAGCTCAAAGCCGAGAGAGCGAGCCTCCTCAAGTCTCCTCTAGAAAAGGAGCTGGATGTGGATGCTGACTTCGTAGAGAAGTCAGAGCTCTGGGGTCTGCAGCAGCCCTCAGAAACAACTGCCGCTGCCTCGGCCTCCTCTTGGCAGAAATTCACCTCGAGTGCAGGGAAGGCCAAAGATATTCCCATCCCCAGTCTTCCCCCGCTGGACATTCCATCCCCTGAACTTCCGCTCCTGGAGCTCTCAGAGGACATCCTGAAGGGACTCATGAATAGCTAAGCGGAGACCACAATGTTTATTCACCTGTCATTCAGCAAGATCCAAAAAAGGGAAGGCCAATACAGCTGGGACCCAAGAGCAAAAACATCAACCTTCAACGCTAGCGAGGGAGGAGATCTTGGTGACTTTGTCACTGTGAAAAATATGCATGATATTGTTTGGAACAGAAACTTTTACCATTGTTGGTAAAAGCTAAGCGCTCTTTTCTCCCCCTTAAGCCAAAAGGACTGGGGGGAGCTACACATAATACAGTCTTTCAGGGTATATGATCTGTAACAATTTCTCTCTAATGCCATAAAATAATGCAAAGCCAACATGATGTGGGCCAGAAGGGGACAATTTGGGTAGTGGAAGACATTTTTCTATTGTGCATTTGATTGCCTTTTGAATTAATTATGCACAAAACCAGTGAACATATTAGAAGTTATTGCAGGCTGGATCTATGTGCCACACTTCTGCACTCCTGACCTAACATGTAATGTCAGCCAATCAGGAGAGATGCTAAATTTCCATTTTTGAGGAACCAAATCCAGTTCTTTTGAAAAATGTTGATTTGTTTACATAATCAGGGTGCTTCATAATGTGTGTTTTCTGTATATGAAATTACTAGGCATTGTTTTAAGCAAATACACAAGGAAGAACAATCCTTGGTGCATGAATGGAAGTAATGATAGTTGACAGGAAATAAAACGTTTCAGGTCTGTTTGGAATCTTTTAATTCTTTTATCTGATGATGTTTCCTTATATTTTGGTCAGATCTGTGCCTGAAAGGTGAGGAAAGCGGGGGGGGGGGGGGGGGGGGGGGGGGCAAGCAGAAGACATAACAAAATTGAAAGGGGGCTTAGGACAAAGTCAGCTCTCCTTAGCAATGCTACATGAGATCTTTCTAACAAGGCACTTCCTGAATTCTCATTTCTTTCAACATTATATATTAGAATCATGAGCCACTGAGGCTGAGTTCTGTTATATAATGGTGTACTAAAGGTTGTACCTACTTATATCCCTTTGGGGGCTTTCTGATTGTAGGTATAAAGTACTACCTTTCCACTATATAACAACAGTTAGGGGCTCCTGGAGTGGGCCCAGACTAATTTCAGCTGCTCATGAGCACCAAAAGAGGAAATAATAATAATAATAATAATAATAATAATAATAATAATAATAATAATAATTTTATTTTTATACCCCGCCAACCATCTCCCCTAGGGGACTCAGGGCGGCTTACTAGGGACACGCCCAAGATTACAATTAAAACACACATGTAAAACACTTTAACCAATTAAAACATCAGATAAAACAACACAATTGAAAGCAATGTAAAAACAATACGGCTGAAAGAAACATAGCTGAGGTACAGATTCAATGAGTGCAATACATTTTTACAGGAGCGCAGGAAAGTGCAACAATCCAGTAAACTGGGCAGGAAATACCCACATTTTGAGGTAGAACGTATGCCAGTGTAAAATGCAGGCCGGTGTAAAGTGTGGAGCTTCAAGTAGGGACAAGAAAGTTTCTGGTGAGCTGCTTAGTCAAAAGCGCACCGGAGCATCCAGGTTTTTAGTTGACTATGAAAGGAGCCTGTCTGATCTCCCTAGGGAGGGAGTTCCAGAGCCGGGGGGGCCACCACCGAGAAGGCTCGTCCCCATCAACCGTGCATGTGACGGCGGGGGGAGTGAGAGCAGTGCCAGATCTGCACTGGTTCATAGGGGAAGATACGATCACGAAGATAAGCAGGTCCCGAACCATTTAGGGCTTTATAGGTGATGACCTGCACCTTGAATTGGGACTGGAAACCTATTGGAAGCCAGTGGAGCTGTTTAAACAGGAGGGTTGACCACTCTCTGTAAACAGCTCACGTGAGTAGTCTGGCTGCAGATCTCTGGACCAATTGTAGTTTCTGGGCCATCTTCAAGGGCATCCCTACGTAGAGCGCATTGCAGTAATCCAACCTAGAGGTGACTAGGGCATGGACCACCATAGTCAAATCAGATTTCACGAGGTATGCACAGATTTAACTGTGCAAAGGCCCTCCCAGCCACCACCGATACCTGAGCATCAAGTGTCAAAGCGGAGTCAAGAAGGAACCCCAAGCTGCGGACCTGTGTCCTCAGAGGTTGTGCAACCCCATCAAGCACAGGTAACCACCCTATGCCCCGATCTGTCCCACGACTGGCCAGGAGGACCTCTGTTTTGTCAGGGTTAAGCTTCAGCTTGTTAGGCACTGATCCAGGACCCGAGGGGCTTCCTTGGAATCTGGTGGAAAAGAGTAATAAGAGTTGAGTGTCATCTGCGTAGAGATGGCACCAAACTCCAAAAATCCAGATGATCTCGAAAGAGCAGCTTTATGCTATGAGAACCAATACTCCTTCTCTCTATGCTCAAGAGCAACTGCAGCTGGCTTGGACACACACCTGTGGCCAGGAAGAGGGAGCTATGGCTGGCGGTCTACTATTGTGCATGCCAAAAAGCAATCTTGGCCATTTCGCTCCTTGTGTTTTCCCCCTTCTGCTCTCTTTGGCACAGCAGCCATTTTGTGTGTGGACTCTGCTGGAGGCAACCATTTTGTAACAGCATCACAACTTCTTCAAAATTCCAACGGTGGCCACGGAGTTAGGGGTACAGGAAGGTCTCAATATTACACTCAATGGAGTGGATTGATATGTTGAAACAACTGGACTGAAGCAAGCTGAAAGAAATTTGACATTGTATTGCCGAAGGCTTTCAACTCTCCACCTGCTGTGTACTAACACTTCAGGTTTCATGGGCTGTGGTAACTAATATGTAGCCATAATCTTAATATATAAAAAGCGAATGGCCTAAACCCAAACTGTGACTGATCTAGAAAATCAGTGTCCTCTAGAAATCCCTGGAGCCGCGAGGCGACCATCCATGTAATTTAATTGCTGGCACAGCTCATACACTTTAATCTTACCACATTATTGTATATACCCAGTGGTGCCTAGGAGGGGCCGATACTCCCCTACTTTCTCCCATCTCCAGCTCTGAGGCAGCCTACCTAACAATATCTCCACGGCAATGGTGGGGCGCTTTCTGTTTCTATTCTTTTTCTTCTCTTTTCTTCCCATCTCTCATACCTTCCCCCCTTTCCTTTCTCTTCCACCCTCTTTTTCCTTTCTCTTGTCCCCCTTTCTTCATCCCTTTAAGTATATGTCACATAGTAGTAAGAAGCCAATATGTTCCATTCCCTTTCTTTTCTAGTCGCATGACAAAAAAACCACTTCACCTGTTTTGTTTGTTTTCTTTCCCTCTTCTCTGGGCCCAAAATGGGTATATTTTTAAAGTTCAAACCCCTCCATTATTTTAAGTTGGATAATGAAGGTACGCATGTCATGCAACATACATACATATACATATGCTTTGACTTCTATATAAATCGATAGCTAACTGAAAAAAACATGGCAGTGTAAAAGCATGATATGCTGTGGCAAATGTGCATGGATTTCTCCTCTACTTTTGGAGCATGAATCATTATAGCTCTTCCTGTGAAAAACCTGCCTGGTCATCCTTTAGGTATATGGAGAAAAAAAAGATGCATCCTTTTTCTCTAAGTAGTAGCTTCAACCGGTTAACGGACCATACCCTGAAATGAAGCAGTTACCACCAGTTAAATTATGTACAAGTGTTTTCTGCAGTATTACTATTTTCTGTGTGCATGCTGAGTAACAAGAACACAATGCATTCTGTCAAGCTAAATGTGCCCCAATGCTGACAACAGCCACCATGATACAAGGGAAATTGACAATAGGCCATAACTGAAGGAGTCTTTGTTATCTCACTCATAATGTTAACAAATTAGTGGGAATTAAAAGTCATCAACAGGCCTTGAAAAAGAGCACTGCTATAGTAGGATTAAGACAGGGGTCCTCAAACTTTTTGAATAGAGGACTAGGTGACAGTTCCTCAAACTGTTGGAGGGCCAGATTATAATTTGGAAAAAAAATGAATGAATTCCTATGCACACTGAACATATCTTATTTGCAAAAAACACTTAAAGCATTGGAGTCTCAGCAGCTCCTTGTGCTGGGGGACTTCAATGTCCATGCCGAGGCGGCCCTCTCAGGAGCGGCTCAGGACTTCATGTCTGCCATGGCAACCATGAGGCTGTCCCAACAAGTAGCTGGCCCCACTCACAGTGCAGGACATACATTGGACTTGGTTTTCTTCCAGGGATGGGAGGAAGGTGGCGGTGTTGAGGAGTTGACCATCTCTCCGTTGCCATGGACCGACCACTACCTGGGCAGATTTAGGCTCACTGCACCCCCTAACCTCTGCAGAGGTGGAGGACCCATTAAGTTGGTTCGCCCTAGGAGGCTTATGGATCCGGTTGGCTTCCTGATGGCTCTTGGGGAGTTTCCCGCCTCCTCGGTAGGTGATCCTGTCAATGCCCTGGTCGCTCTCTGGAATGGGGAGATGACTAGGGCAATTGACACGATCGCTCCGGAACATCCCCTCTCAAGTAGCTGGGCTAAACCAGCGCCTTGGTTCACCGAGGAACTGGCAGCGATGAAGCGAAGGAAGAGGGAACTAGAGAGTGTGTGGTGTTCAGATCCGAGCGAGTCAAATCGAGCACGGTTTGTGTCCTTCATATGCCGCGGCAATAAAAGCCGCAAAGAAGGCTTTCTTTGCGGCCACTATTGCGTCTGCAAAGAACCGTCCGGCTGAGCTGTTCCGAGTTGTCAGAGGCCTTTTAAATACCACCACTCAAGGTGGGAACCCTGACAACTTCTCGCTGTGAAGCCTTTGCTCAGTTCTTCGCAGACAAAGTCGCTTTGATCCGTTCTGGTTTGGACACCATGTTAAGGGCAGTCTCTGAGGATGTAACACGAGCACCTGCTTGTCCTATTTTGATGGATTCATTTCAATTGGTGAAACCCGAGGATGTGGACAAGATACTTGGAGGAATGAGGCCTACCACGTCCATCCTAGACCCCTGCCCATCCTGGCTTTTAAAGGAGGCCAGAGGGGGATTGGCTGAGTGGGTTGAGGTGGTGGTTAATGCCTCCCTTCGGGAAGGCAAGATTCCAGCGAGCTTAAAACAAGCTATAATAAAACCGCTGTTGAAAAAACCATCACTGGACCCCACTAAATTTGACAACTTCCGGCCAGTTTCCAATCTCCCCTTTTTGGGCAAAGTCCTGGAACGCGTGGTGGCTTCACAACTCCAGGTATTCTTGGGAGACACGGATTATCTGGATTCAGCACAGTCTGGTTTCAGACCGGGTCATGGAACTGAGACAGTCTTGGTCGCCTTAGTGGATGATCTGCGTTGGGAGCCCGACAGGGGGAGTGTGTCCCTGTTGGTACTGCTGGACCTCTCAGCGGCCTTCGATACCGTCGACCACGGTATCCTTCTGGAACGCCTCACGGGGATGGGTCTCGGGGGCACCGTTTTACAGTGGCTCCGGTCATTCCTGGAGGGCCGATCCCAGAAGGTGTTATTGGGCGGACACCTGTTCAACCCCACAACCTTTGTCTTGTGGGTTGCCTCAGGGCTCAATACTGTCTCCCATGTTGTTTAATATCTACATGAAGCCGCTGGGAGAGATCATCCGGAGTTTCGGGGTACGATGTCATCTGTACGCAGATGATCTCCAACTCTGTCACTCCTTTCCACCTTCTACTAAGGAGGCTGTCGAGGTCCTGAACCGGTGCCTGGCCACTGTAACGGTCTGGATGAGGGCGAACAAAT